GGACGGAAATGACCACGGACCGGATTTAGTGAACACTCAACCTGGACTGGAGTTACGTTTCTCCAACCTAACTACCTGATATTTGAGCAAAATTTCCACCATAGTTCGGATGCGACGGTTTTTCATTCATAACACGATCAAAAGTAAACAAAGTGGATTTTACTGACAGTACATTTGAAAATAAATTATAGTATGTTCATGATATTTACTAATTTTTTTTTAAATTCTTGATTCAGAATTTTGAGTATTAAAAAACTGTGCCCATCACTTAGGTATTTGATTAAAGTGAGATTTCTTAACACTTGCTTAACTAAAAATTTTACCGCAGTTAGGTATCAGGTAGTTACAAAATTTTGCACCGGAGGTGGGTCCCTGATTAGAAATGCATCGCAATTTGGACAGGCCGTATAAAGTTACATCCATATTATAACATAATTTAACTTTACTGTTTATTTAAGAAATTTTATTGTAATTCAGACAAGGTTGTTTGTGTGGTTCAAATATCAAAGATGTATTAAACAGATATGAATGTGCAGGTAGTAATCTCACAATATTCATTCCTGGAAGGGCCGAAATATTTTAAGTACTTAGGCTTCTAGGGTACCTGTACTACTATATTAGAATTCCGTTGAAGGCAAATGTTTCCTAATTATGGAAACAGTCACTTCGTCTATAGTCTTAGTAGTGACACGTTCGTTCGACAAGTTAGAATCTATCAAGTATAGCAAGTAAGTTGGTGTTTTATTATTATAATAATTGTAAAATAATATATACATACGAAGTGGTACTGTATGTACATAGCTGTCATTTTTTTAATTGTCTTTAATTGACGTATCAACATTCAAAGCGCAACGAAAATTGGGGCAACCGGGCAACTACTGTTTTGGTTGAAAACTACGTAAATATTAGAATAAAAGAACACTAAACAAATGTATTCATAATCATTACAGGGATCATTTTGAGATTTTTATTTCAAAGGTGTTTTTAATGAGAACTGACGAGTTTCAGCATCAATAAAATGTTTTATTGTTTATGATCGCCGCAACTTATATTTAGCAAGCAGATTGATACGTCAACGTACCGTTGCAACCACAATAATTATTCTACGTCATCGTCAAAGCGTGTGCTCAAACCTGAAATACTTAGTTCCAACGTTCAACCAAGTTTTTTTTTATCAAATATAATATAACAAGTGGTCTGATTTTTTCCGACAAAATTTGTGACACAAATTAACGAGTAGCTGTTGCGACGAAAATCACACGAGTCGACGAAGGAGACGAGTGTGATTTTCCAAAAGCAACAGCTACGAGTTAATTTTCACACAAATTTTGCAGAAAAAATCAGATCACGAGTTATATTCGGCTTGACAATCCAAAGAGAAAATTTTTATTTACTTTTTACGACAATAATTCACATAATTTATAGTTAGCGTATTCGTTGAGTAATCATACCTACTTAGTCTAAATAGTAACAAAACAGCAAAGCAAAACGTAAATAAATTTCTAAACATCAAATTTTGTGTGTGCTGCTGGTTGATTTTCTTAATTATGGGAGCAAGATTTGGTAATAAGATTGTGTATGAAATTCGAAATGCAGTGAAAGAAAGTCAGTGCCGGAAGACCGCAAGAACGCAAGATTCAATTTGGAAGCAGTTTACAGAATTTTGTGAAATACGCAAGTTTCATCTAAATAAAGCAGTCGAAATGAACGAGGTGGCCAGTATTTTGGAAGATTATGCCTTTAACGCCAACAGAAAAGTAATTTGTATTATCGTTTTTTTTTATTAAAGTTCATTTGACAAGTTTGACAAATTAATTTGACATAATTTATTTCGCTGAAAAACAGTGTTGTTGCCTGACAGAAGAATGTTTTTTCACTGAAAAAATTTTTCGGTGAATGCCATTGGACAAATTTCAAACAATTCTGCCATTGTATTGGTTAAAAATTTTCGAGTTGGATTGTCAGTATTAAATGTCATTTGCCAGCCAAAATTGCCATCGATTTGATCTGACGTTCACGTAATTGCAAAGTGTGCAGTGAAGTTTTCCCGTTTTTTTGTTTTATAACAGGTACTAAATTCTGTTTAAAGATAATAATGACTTTACAATTATTGTAATGTATTGCATTTAAATATAATACTTTTCTAGTCTAAATCTTGAATTTCCAATTTTAGTAAAAAAGTAGTCTTAAGGCACGTGTCCACTTGGCGAGAATTCGCGAGAGTTACTTTCAAGGGCTTGTCGATTTGAGAGGATATTTTGGCAAATTTTGCTCGCCGATAGATGTTAAATGTCTGTCGATCAGACAAAGCTTTCAAAACCCTGTCCACTACACAGTTGCACTTGCGAGGAAAATGGACCCTCTTTACTCGAACCAATAAAACATTTATGATTTTACGAGTCTTTGGTTTAAAATTCGATCTATAATGTTTCTGATGTTGTGGTTCGTAAGTTAAGTTCATAAAAAATCTGTAATAGAGTGGAAAGCATAAATTAATTTGTCGATATCTTCATGTTAAAGTTCGATTATCGCTATTTGGAGGTGATTTCACTGGGGATTAAAGCTTAGTTAGCACTTGAGATGATTTATTACTTAGACCCTGTTGTAAATGTGTCCATCAAGACGACGCTTTAAGGGCTTTTACCAGTGAGATAACCGCAAACTGCAATAAACAGTCTGGGTTTCTGTACCTGGGAAGGAATCAGTGCAACAGGGTCTAAGCAATAAATCATCCCAAGTGCTAATTAGTCTTTAATCTCCAGTGAAGTCACCTCCAAATAGCGATAGTTGAACTTTACTATGACAGATTTGTTATCCACATATTACTCTTTGTTTTCTGTATATTTTTTGTTATTTGGTAAGACATTGCGTGCGAGAGTATTTATTGCTGATATGAAAAAACAGAAGAAAATTGTCTAATCTAGTTAGTTAATTAGATGATTACAAGATGAGCTAGTCAATTTTGTTCCTTCCTGACAAATGGCACATTCATTATCTCATTCTCATTCAATACTAAGGTTAACAGCTCTTATTTATATTACTGTTAATTAACTCACACACTATAGTTAAACAATACAATTTTTCTCTTTAATATCTTGATGGTCAGTTGTCAGAAACAAAAAGATTACAGCACTCTTTTAACTGCCTTATCAAAATTATGACGTGTTGTCGATCGCATACTTATTTAAGTGTATACCAAAATACTACATTATTTTTCTATGACAGTAGTAGGTGCTTTCGCCGCTTGTACGAATGTTGTTAAAAATTTCGGTTCCTGCACGGGTGACACAATCATTTTAAATTATATTTATTGAAACAATTAACAAACATGGTAGTCTTGATTGTAATTATTTAGAGCCGAAGGTTTCCAGCCTTAAAGATTATGTGTCTTAGGTTTCACGTTTTTGGGAAGTAGGTGTATGCTTAAGTAAAATAACACTGTTGATGACACTGCAGATATTTATATTGGGTTTTAATTTTACGCTTATTAAAAGTTAATGTGGAGATAAACGTAAAATGATTATTGTTATAAAAAATTGTGATTTTGCTTAGTTTATTGCATAACTGACCATCCGTGACCAAGAGATTTTGACAAAAAGAATTAGTATTATAATGGGGTATATTCCTTGGAAAGCCTCGGAGATACGACTTTTTGTATGAACCTGCAAAAGCGTGTCAATAAATGCTTGAAATGCTTGAGATGGCTTTTTTAGAAAATAATTGATACGTAATGCAACATTTAAAAAATACTTTAAAAAAACTGAAAAATGCGCCATCAGAAAGACGGTCTTACGTAAGGCGTTATTTGAGAGCAAACAAACAAGAAGTGTTTATTTGGTAGGTTAAATTGGCCACTATTGTTATTGTTTTGATAACGTCTAAAGCTTTCACTTATAAAGGTCTTTTGCATAAAAAACTAAAATGGATAATAAAAAATTCGGTATGAATTTGAAGGTTGACCTTTTAGTTAAAAATAGGCGTGATATTTAAGCCCTCAACTTTTTAAACAATCATTAATCAGAGACACTGAGAAATAAATGTACGTAAACTACTACAATTATGGTATGATGGCATAAATCAGTTAGATTTTAGTATGTATGTATTTATTTAATCTAACAAGTCTTAAAATGATAATGACGTCTTGAGAAGATTATTACATAAAATATGAAAATGGGCAGAGACGTTTTTTAAACATTGTAACTGCTCATATAAAATTTAATGAATATACAGCTGCATAAAAGTGCACTTAAAAATACGAAAATGGGCTCACACAGGATATTTTTTTTTCAAACTGACTAAAGACATAAACATAATTTGTTTGATCTCATTTTTGTTAGACGTCTAGTCTACATTTATTTTCGGTACCAATAAAGGTTAACGATTTCTTCATTATGTTGCTAGGTGCCTGAAAATAGCACAAACGATTTCAAGACTTAGCTAACATTTTTTGTTAATTGAGACTCGCATAACTTGAATTACTTGCTCTTATACTATAGATCACCTGTTGGGTTTGTTTACGGTAGAGTAAAAGTGGTCTAGTGAGGCAATAATGTAAAAAATATATAAATAATAGCTATCCCTGAAGGTATCTAGAACCTTTTTCACTTGATTGGCAACTTCCGTTCTTTTTAAAATACCAGAACTAGACACTAGTATTTAGTGACTAAAAAACGTTGTCTTAAGTACAAACGCGTGGTTATCAACCCCCAAAAACGTCTATATTTACCAACTATCACAAATAAATAAGTGAACATGTGCATTTAAACGTGTGAGTTCATAAAGTTGTTCGCCATATATAATAATTTTCATTTCTAATTCTTGCGTATTACACGCCCGGCTTAAACCACAATAGACGATCAAAGCAATCAATTTACGATGACATTACGAAGTCACAGTTCAATTAACTTAGTTATTATTTCATAACAGTGATTAATTTGCATAACATTTTTACCACGATGCAGTGCCAGCATTTTTATCAATATTTTCATTATTTTTTCTAGGACTATGGCGTACGGAAGGAGTAATGTTTCAAGAAACCGGAACAGTTGGGGACCCATGTCGGTACCGTCAGGTTTCCATCGGCTGGAACCGGACGAGGAATTCGCCGAAGAATATACCGAGAGGATGATGAGTGCCCAGATGCGACAACTCGATCCACTAAAAGAAGATTTAGCCGACTGGATAAACAAAACACTGGGTGAGTGCTGAAAAAGATAGTTATTTCAGTAGCTTAAGGAAACTTGATAGTCTCAAGCCAGCAAATAAACCTTCACCTGAAAACAACATACGCTCGGCTTGTTTGAACTGTGTCGCAAATGAAAATAAACAAACGGAAGATCTTATTTACTAACTATGTGCTTTGTAAACAAATCTACGATTCCTAAACGCCTCGACTCTACACCTCTTCGTTGTTATTAGTAACATTACTATTTTTACAGTATGACAAGTTTCTGAAAAAGGAGATGTGCTGAAATGTTACATTAATTATCACTTTGTGGTGGTTTGTGGGAATTCATAAACATAACAGTTCCGATGAATGAAAGTTTTTATTAAAAATAATTGATGGGTAGGTACTGTAGTAAAACCACCTGTTGACTGCTTTTGTATTGTAGCCGTCTTTATTTTCTCGTTTAATTGTCCCAGTTGCCAACATTATCTTTCTTTACCCGTCAGAATGTCAAATATAAAATAATCCAAAATTGATCTATGACTGAACCATAGGTCGTGCTAATTACTTATCTATTATGGCAAAGTTTCTACTAAAACTTGTTTTAAATCCAATTTGATTGTTTGCACACTAACAACACATCTAAACTTGATTGTTTAATCTTTGCGTTAACACGGACAATTGATTTCGCGTTTTTCAATTTAATATGTTTCATAATTTATGTTCCTGACATTCTACAACTCGCACATTCCAGGTTTGCTGTTGTAATTACTCCAGCTGATAGTTGAAAATTTTCACAGTACATAACGGTAGTTGATGTTATTATTTGTAAGACAGCAGTTCTGCACGAAAGCTGTTTGCATGCATACGTAATTGCTTATTGCTTTGAAAATAAATTTGACTTTGCCGCAGCGAGTGTATTGTTTTATATATCTGTCTGTAGATAATGGAATGGCAACAAAAAATAAAATTTTATTTTGCATAATTTCATACGTAAATAAGTTATTTAGCACAATTTTATATTTTAATAAATTAAATATTTTAATTAGATTAATTAAATTAATTATGTTGGATGCTTGCTTTCTTGTGATGTATATATCACCATTTTTTTTTGGTGGCTGCATCATAATGTTAAGCCACTAACCAATAAAATAAATATTTCTTGAAGACATCAACTGAAACAATGGTATGACAACACTGTGGGGTTTTATGACATACACGTTTTATATGAGTTTATATGAAAATGGGCCACACAGTGTTGTGTTCACGGTTCTCGTCACGTAAACGTGTAGTAAAATTTAAAAGTTGTAAAATTCTATAGTATTTACATGTCTCCCGTATGTACTCAGCTATAATAAAAACATAACATAAAAAGATGTTTGGACATTTTTTTCAATTCTTTTTGTTGTGAAGTCCAGGCGTAGGGGGATTTACAAAAAGTAAACACTATATTACGGAAGTCATACCTATTACTGAAACCAGGAAAACTATTTTTTATTTAAAGTTGTGTAGTGCCGCACCAAATTGAACCCTACCAAGTGACAGCAATTTAATTTTTGATTAAATGTAGGTGTAAGTAGAGTAATCAATGGATAATCATCACGAGCGTACTGAACTGATTCAAATTGGTGCCATGAAATTACACTTGATTTAACCTTGTATTACAAGTAGGTAGTAGCGGTCATCATTTCCAATCGAATAACAGTAGCAAAGCTAAAATGTCTTAAGAGTTAATTATCAAAAAAGGAACAGAATTTGCTCGTGTGTTCAAGATTTACTAGATAAATAATTTTCAGCGTGATGTTCCCAAGTTTTCTATTATTTTTTTTACAAACGTCAGTAGCTCTGAGAATTGCAAAACAATTGCTCAATAAGTGATGCGTGTTTCGTTTGCTATTGTGTATTCTCGTACAAATGATGTATCAATAAGAAAAGTGCATAATCTCAAGTGGTAGCATTTTCGCAACAAAAAAAAACGCCATGAAAGTGGAAAGATCGTATCTACTTCACTGGGAATTTGTTTGATATAATTTGCAATTTAATTGCATTTTAATACGCTATAGAATTCTCATACACTCCAGATTAAGTTTATTACAGCGATCTACTTATTGTATATGAGGAAACGTACTTTAAAAATGTGTATGTTGCGTTGTGGAATATTTTTATACAACGAAGAATAAGAAAATAATTTTTGACTAGATATCTAACCAAATCATTAAGTTGTGGTCCACTTTTGCAGTGCAGATCTATTAATTAAAGTCATTAAATTAGCTGTAGATGTGAAGTTCTTACAAGCTTGCAAAAATTTTATCTAGTAAGGAAACCGGGTGCCCTATATCATTTAGTTGGAGAAATGCAGATGCTGAAAGCAACTTTTTACAGGTAAGAAAAATCTGTATATGCAGCTTTTCTTGGCAGGTGTACCACTTGTACTTGGACAAGCAAAGCTGAAGTTTAGTCATTAGTGTGTCCATTATGTCCACAAAATACCCATAAATAAATGAAGCTCATATCTCCTTTTTTTTTCAGTTTTCCAAGGACTGGAAAATTTTATAGCTTCTTCTGTCATGTTCATGACACCATTATTACTATCTCAAATGTCAGATGCTGGTAAATTAGTTTTCGAGATTATCCCGTTTAAGGCGCCAAATGCAATGAACAATACGCTTGCAATAATTAAAAAAAAGTATGACTCATAGAGCAACAAACACTTAAACCTATTATCACAAACATTCATCAGTAGCTGAAACTTATTAATGGCTTTGTGGATGTTTTGAACTTAAAGTAAATTGAATAGTGTCATGAAATTCGCGATATTATTAACCCGTATTTTTACACTGTAAAGCATGATAACCGAAACAGCAACAATAAACCTGATAAGGGTTATTAATTAATATGAGATAACTATGACGTAATTAATTGTGCGGTGTGCTGTTTATCTGATGTTACCAGATACTACCATTTGAATTCGTAAAAATTAGTACATAATCCGAGTATGAAACCGATTTCATAAAAACTATCCAGCTGCAACGTGGGTGGCTATCTTCCATGTCAACATTATGTCGTGCTGTAAACTGTAATGGTACAGTTGTTCTTTTACAGTTGCGTATTGTTAAAAACAAAAAGAAAATGCGATTAAGACTAGAGTGAGTTATTACAGTATTATTAAATTCATTATAATTAAACCGGAACGCTACATTAATAAGTTAGCACGTGTTTACAATCTATTTATTTCCGTAGGTGGGTACAATAATAAACACATGACAAGTTGAGTGGAAGTTATGGAAAACGTAGTCATTTTTATTAAATTTATGAGGTAAATGTGTACTAACTGTACTCCCATTAGTAGCTACTGGGTGAGTGGGTTACGTAACATTTGAAGATTATTAAAAATGATAATTATTTACAATGCTTACAGTTAAGACTGTGGTAGAATCATTCGTCTAAACACACAAAAGTTATGTTGCAAAACAAACGTAATTATTCATAGAGAATAAATACGAAAAACGGTTCACAATTTAGTTTTTTGAAATAGAATACTGTATGCATTTTTACATATTCTTCTATATGGAGTTCTTCTTAGACTTATAACTACGTTTATTTTTGAAATTTCGATGTGACGTTGCTATGTTATCCAATTTTCTAGAAATTTTTTAGCAATGGAAAGTTCACAAAAAAAAACGCAATGGGTTTTTTTTTTAAATCTGTTACAATATTTTGCGGAAAGACAAAAAAAGGTACGCACTTTGTTGTCGTATAGACAAACTTGAGTGATACAAAGTGTTGATAAATTTGTTAAACATTATTTCAATTTAACTAGAACTGTTTTACTACTACGAGTAGATAATTAATACTACTAAACTAATAACTAAATAATTGATACCACAACAAAGTTCGTACCTTTGTCTATCTTTTCATAAAGACAACACAGATCTTAAAAATAACGTTGCAATTTTTTGTGAACTCTTGCTTTGCTGAACAAATTCAAGAAAATTGGGAATAACGTAGCAATGCCATATCAGAATTTCAAAAATAGACTGATTTTAAAGTTTAGGAAGAGGCTAATGAGAATATGTAAACATATATAAATATATAAAATATTCTATAAAAAAGTGTGTATTATTGTTATTATTAAGTGAATATTCTACAGAGTGAGACTCCAATTATAGAATATTTTAATATGTCTCAAAAACAAGTCGCTCTGTATAGTCTAAAATAATTTTAATGTATGCTACTCAAAGAACCGTACAGCTTTAGAACTCTGACTTTTTTCTATCTCTAATAAACTAATTCATGAGCAACGGGCGGAATTGTGTTTCATACGCTAGATCCAGTGCTGTCGCGGCGATACTTTGATTACAAATATATTTTTATTTTGGACTATATCAACATAATATAACATTTCAAGATCACAAATCTGTGGTCCTGTGTTTGAAAAATTAAAAGGGGCATCAAGTATTATTTTTTTAAGTAATATAGTAATATAGAAGTAGTTTTTTAACAAGCTGTAAACACTCCTAGCGACGCACTGGCTACGACCTTGTGGACCAGATCAAAGCGTCCCCGCTACTCGCCGTAAAACACACCTTGCTTCAACTGGGGAATTGCATCCGTAAGATAAATTTCCGCCTACTGTTCATGAGATATGGAGGATGTGCAGTGACTCATCCTATATTTACAACATGTCAAGAAATGATTCTAGTATCAAGGACGGCTTTGAAAAAAAAAATCCATATAAATACAGTACGTTTTGCTCGCGTTGGCATTACTGATTTTTTTCAGAATACTACACGATACTTTTAGAAGCTGGCGACGTGCGGTGGATTACATGAACTTGGGTGGAACCAGTTATAGCATCTGCTTTTGAATCATGGAAGGGTGAGGGGAAATTTAGCACAAATTAGGATTGAGTACAGTTATATCATACAAGAGCATACGAATTAAATGTGGTATTTAGTTCGTTTTTATTCTTCGTCTTTTAAAAGCACTTTTTAAAAATTACTGTTTGCTAAATTAACTAATTGCGTAGT